GGGGTCGCCGCCATTCGGTGTACTCCTGCCGGAGCTGCCGGAATGGCTACCGTTTATGGGCACCAGGGCATTGTGAAAATCGTGCTCGATCGTACCATTTGCTGCCTCCATGCCGGCGCTGAAACACACAAACTCAACATTAACCTCTCGGACTGCATCTATATCTCGTACAAATACGCTAATTTATTAGTCTAATCAAATTTTAGCCGATCTTTTAGTGGGGTGAAATAAAGCTTTGTTAACGGTTCAACAATTTATTGATAATAAGCAGTTCTTTACTGCACGTGTGTTCGCTAAGGAGACGCAATCCCGAATGCCACGCACCCCTATAAAATTGCACATCCTGGCGTAAGGCTTTTGGGAAAATTCCCAGCCCAAAAGAACGTCGCATGACTCATGGAAAAATACAGAACAAAGCATCTCAGTACAACCGAGACAAAGAGTTTCGGTACAATCTTACGCAACATCCGGTGTTTCCGAATTAGGGTCAATCGTATCGAAATATCTTTCTTCGGTGCAAAGTGAGTCAGCGTTTTCATTCGGGCTTTTATAGAAAACATAGAAAAATATTTTCCGGTGATTCTATAACAATTCCAGACATTTTGACGATCGTTATATAATACAAATAGACTAACCGATCGAACGGACTGCATAAATAGCCGGATCCGCAGCGCCTCGGTACCATTCGCAAAATTTATCGAATAGTGACTCTTCGTTTTAACGAATCGATAAGAACCGCGGTTGGTTTTCGTATCGCTGTATAATTAACGATAGACTACATTTTAATTACCGTCTGGCCGAGTAACGGAAAAATGTTTTCCCAGCCAGAGGGTGTTTTCACCGGCAATTTATTGTCCGGGCCTCTCTCGTTTCCACGTTGTTTATGTTAACCAACCCTTTGAATACTTGAAGCGCGTCGGAAGTCGAATCTCTCTTTTCCGCGCAATTTTATTAGTCTACTTGCATCTCTTTTTCAGATGGTGCCGCTGGTCATCGTCAAAGGTCTGGTGTTACTCAGCCTGCCTATCATAACCGCTCACCGTTTCTTTCTCACGACGATCGACGTTCAGTGAGTAACTTAATAAAATCTCGTATCGCAGATATGTAATCGAACGTTTCGCAGAGTCTGCGGGTATCATCGCTTCGAGATTCCGTCCGTTCCCCGGTTCTTCGATCTGCGGAATCCTCGTTCTCTGAAGGTGAGTTTAAAAGTTTCGGTGATCCGAAGGTATCGTTTTCGAATAAGCAAATTATTTCGAGCACGAAACGGACGCCCTTCGACCGCTATTTTTCTCTGTCTTCCGTAAGATTTCATCGAACCGATAAGAACGCGTTCGTGCTCCGCCACCGTTCCACCGATCACCGGCGAATAATTGGAAAAGATAACGCCGTTTCCGCGTGGCACGATAAAGTCGTCGGTGACGCGATCGGCCCTGAAACGCGAAGAAAAACGGGGGCTTCCGGAGAGTACGCTATGGCGAATCGATGGGGGTGAGTCGGCGAGCGATATTTTATTTTCTCTCCGCTGTCACCCTTCGTTACCCTTAACCGCCATCTACGCTCGCCGTCTCCGCGAGAGTTACAACGACATCGATAGTCCCGCGGGGATCGAACTCGATGTATCCGTCCATCTTCCGCGTCCATCACGGTATCCTTGTTATCTCCGCAAAACCTTTCTATTCAGACAAACACTCTTGTTGGATCCGCGTCGATCAATGAACGAATCGATCGGAAAGCGTTTCCCGGGATCCTCGAGTTCACCAAAAAGAAAGGGAGTCGGAGGTCGAAGGACGGGAGAGTAAAAGCGGTGCACGTTACTCCGTATAGCCGCGGAGGATGATGTCGGAGGTGCAGAGGTCGAGGGAGCGTGACGCAGCCTGGAGTGGGTCTCTCGGAGGGGATTTCGCAGAGGGGAAGAAAGGGTGTTCGCGTGCGCGCGTACCCTCGAGGGAGAGAGAGACGTAAGCCGGGAGAGAAAGAGAGGCCTCGTAATGCTTTAACGCGTGTGCGACAAGAAGGATCAAAGGAGGAAACGAGGACGCTAGCGATGGGTCCGACTCGTTTCCGCGAAAAACGGATCCGAAAGGGAAACTCGCAGTCTGGAGATGCAGGAATACTTTGGACGTTCGTAACGAGCGGAAGGCAACATAAAACAGAATATCGGTGCTCGCGAAAGCATCGCTTCCATTGCTACGACGGGTCAGAGAGAACGAGGGTGAAGAGGGAGGGTTGCAGAGAAGGAGAGAAGGAACGAGGTAAAGCGAAACAGGGCGAGCCATTCGAGGGAGTCGTCCAGTGGGATGTGGGAGGTGGTGGCTGGGATAAGGGGCGAGAGGGTGAACAGCGGGGGTGGAGGGTGAGAGAACGCGCAGCTGGTGGATCAATACTCCCCTCCGTTCTTCCCTCTTCGAGTTGTCGCGCTCCCTTTTGCAACCACCCCTGGCGGAACGTCTATCGAAATGCGTCGCTCTTTTTCTCTTTCGTCGCCTAATTTCCACGTAAACTCGCCTCTCTCGTTGCCATTCACCGTTAGCTGGCTTTTTCTTCCGCCTCTTTCTACGCTCATTTCCTCCGCGACGATCCTGCGTAGCCGCGGATCTTTCGAAATTTCGGATTTTCGGAACTGTGCTAATCTTTCCGGTAGGGCGAAAGAGAAATTGCGGAAACGATCGGGCAAGAAACTCCGAGAGAGAAGCTCTGATCGATTCGAATCGCCGGATAAATTTGCCTCTTTCCACGGAACGTATTTCAGCTACGTTAAACTTCCCTCGATTCTCTGGATGTTGTGAAACGATCCGATTATATCAACGTTGCGTAATTACTCCTCCCTATTCTATTCGAACCACAATAAGGCATTCGCGACCGAATTAAACGTCGATAATTTGGTAACAGGGGCAATGGACTTTCGACGCGCGACTGTTCCGTTTTTATTCCGCGATCGCGTGATGGATCAGCTTAACCGTGACCCTTCGGAATTAATTTTCGGTGAAAGACTTCCGATCGATAAGCGATCGAAACCGGACGACGAAAGGAAAGCAAGAAAGAAGGTTTGATACGCGCGAGAAGAACTCTAGTGTTTCCAGTATCGGTAGACATCCTGTGTGCTAGCGTAGTTCCCTCGTGACCCTCGGCAACGTCGAGGGTTACTTTTCTCCCATTCTCTGCCGCCCTTCTACGGGCTGGCCGCGCACCCTCTCCGGCTTCGTCTCTACGCGGAGTCTCTCCCCCGAGCCCGTGCTCGTTCGCACGCGGAATATGCGCGAGCGGACACGCGCACCAACCACCCTCTATCGTTCCACCCTCGGCGGGCCATCGAGGGATCGACGAGGAGAGGGTGCGTTTTCGAGGCTGGTGGGGCTCTCGGCTGGAGGAGAAGCACCCCCGGGTGGGGGAGAGACAGGGTGCGGAGGCGCCGTCGCCAGCGAGCGACGCAGTGCCGTCGGGACGTTCGACCGAACGATACCGCCTCCGCAGGAGTCAGCTCGACGCCGCC